GCTTCTCTGATTCGTGTTAGTGAACCCGTAATCAATCCTGTAACTGGCAAACCAACACATGAAAGTTTAAGTATTGGTTTGTAGGGATTTGGTTGATTGGTTAAAAGATTTCATCATGAGCTGACATTGGTTAGAGAACCATTGGAAAACCTGCAGGGAGTACTGGACAGCTGTTTCGTCCTAGTTTGTGACTCTTCATCAGTACGCAACCGCTGGGGTTCGAACCCAGGACCTTCTGGTTCCAAGGTAAGCTCGTAGACAATTAAGCCACTGGGACCCGATCCAATGGCCCATGAATTCTAACTTCTACCAGTTCACGACATAGCGCAACCGCTAGCCACTACTAATCACTAGCCACTAATAAAGATAACATAACTCCATAATGGATAAGATTTTATTTTGATAAATCACACAGTGTTGTACAGTTATATTAACTGATGACGTTTCGAGCACTGATTATGGCATCCTTATTCATCGAGTCTACACCCAACACATGCAACAGAAGTGACTCAATGCAAATACCAGAAATATGGAAGATATTATTACCGCCGGTCAAATAAGAAGAGGATAATAAGTAATCTTAAAATTCTATTTCAATTCAAACACATCACAACATTCTAACAAATAACATTATGACTATAAAAACACTCGTCGTATTTCCCATCTAACTGTAATGGATTAATAACACTCGTACTATCATTTCTGAATGTACATTATCTCATATTGAATTTTATTCCAATATCTAATCGATTCCACACAAGTATATAAATGAAGGGAAGAAGTTGTGTGAGTAACTTGATATGATTATGAGCAATAGTTTGTGCTCGAAACGTCATCAGTTAACATTACTGTATAACACTGTGATTTATCAAAATAAAATCTTATTCATAATGGAGTTATACTCTACCACAGTGCCCAAGTTTTATACTTATATAGAAGATAACATAAATAAGAGGGAATATAAGGCATCTACTGTAATACCATATAAAGAGGGGACATCTGAGATCCTACGTAGAATTCCCAATAAAGCAGGAATTAGAGCGGTATTTGAACCTACAAATTCACTCAGAGACAAGCTCCGTAGGTTAACCCGATTAGACAAAATAATATAATTTACAAAATACCCTGCAATGACTGTGATTGAGGTCAACTACATAGGTCAAACTAGTAGGTCAGGGGTAGTCAGATTGTCGGAATATAAGAATTTAGCTAAGGTAAGAATGGTTGACCCAGAGAAGATAAGTCATTTAGAAAAAAGCTCAGCGATTGCAATGCATGCGTGAACATACAATAGGGTGTGAGAGGGTTAAAATTCTAAAAAGTAATATAGGTAGGTGGAGAGAGAGTTTAATTACTGAATTCTTGTTCATCGAGTCTACACCTAACACATACATCAGGAATGACTAATCACTCATACCGGAAATATGGAAAATACTAATACCGATCAAGTCAACCGATGAAAAATAATGGAATTACATAAACGAAGTTAGAAAGTTCTGTGAGTGCTTTGATATGATTATGAGCAATAAATTGTGCTCGAAACGTGATCAGTAAATATTTACTGTATAACACTGTGAAGCATTTGATGATATTAGATAGTTGGAGGCAATCGGCAGGAAGCCTTGGACCTAGGTTTCGTGCTAGTTGGCACCCATCAGCAAGACACGTCACACTAGTTACTAGTATCCAATGAAAATACTGTGAAACATTATCAAAATAAATTTTACCCATAATGGAATTATACTCTATCACAGTACAAAAGTTCTGTTCTTATAAAACATGTTTCAAGTTAAAAATAAACAACTTCTTCTGAATACACGAAGAGTAGTAATAGTATTTAGGGAAACAGTCACACGTGCGAAAAACATTAGAAGGTGGCTCATGATATATGTATGTATTTCGTTTCAGTCGAATAACTAATCTTAGCAACCGTAAAAATTCTGTTCAATAAATTTGTTTCGCATGATTGTCCACGAGTTGACTAACACCAGCCAGAGAAGCATTGGAAAACCTGGAAGTACTGGACAGCTGTTTTGTCGTCCTAGTTTGTGACTTTTCATCAGTACGCATCAACAGGTGTTTAAACTCTGCACTTCCCGGTTACGAGGCCATTTCGTGGACCATTCAGTCACTAGGACTCGACCCAGTAGCTCATGGATTCTAACTTGTACCAATTCGTGATATACATTCAACGCAACCGCCAGCCAGTAGTGTCACAGATGAGCAATTGTACTCTTGACTGACTTGGTGGATCCCGCTGGTCACGGCTTCTCACTGTAACCAAACCCCTTGAAAATCTGTTCCTCTTTTTCGTTCCTGGCCCTTCCGGGCAAAGCATAGGACTTCAAGCTATGAAATATCAGTAAAAATGGCGTTTTCTTTATGAAGTGGAGTTACTAACCTCCTGCTCAAGCTTCCCTCTTTTCTAAGCCTACTACCGGCTAAAAAACTAAGCAAGGTTTAAGAGCGAATCCATTGGGAATCGATCCCAAACCACTTCCGTTTCTAGCAAGTGCCCTACTATTTTTCAATTTCAAATCTCGTTCCATCTAACCTCATGTATAATAAGTGTGACCCATAACCTAGTATCGGATAAATGTGTCCAGAGCAAATGAATTCTAAATGTTTATCAACATTAATAACTATTAAATTTAATATTTAAAATTGAACCAAATAATTGATTAAAGGCGCCCATTAGAAATTTCAAAAGACTGATTTGCTGGACAAAGATGGTGACCACTTAACTTTAGAATACTGATGTTCAGTTTAGCGTTACACGTTTTGCATTAATGTTGTCAGTAACAATAATGCTTTACAGGATTTCATCATTAGCTGACATTGGTTAGAGAACCATTGGAAAACCTGCAGGGAGTACTGGACAGCTGTTTCGTGCTAGTTTGGGACTCTTCATCAGTATGCACACACCAGGGTTCGAACCCAGGTCCTTCTGGTTACAAGGCAAGCTCAAGCTTAATGGTCTACGAGCTCGCCTTGTAACCAGAAGGTCCTGGGTTCGAACCCTGGTGTGTGCATACTGATGAAGAGTCCCAAACTAGCACGAAACAGCTGTCCAGTACTCCCTGCAGGTTTTCCAATGGTTCTCTAACCAATGCCAGCTCATGATGAAATCCTGTAACCAATCAAATCCCTACAAACAAGCACTTGAATAATGCTTTAATTGTTATTGATATATAATAGTGGCAACTGACGAAAAAGTTATCGGAAAGAATATTCTTTGTTCAGTCATCAGTCTTTCAAAAACCGAATAACTTTATAATTTCCAGATTTTTCATAAATGTCTAACACACTGGCACAAATTATCCCTTTCAATAATTAGGCAGAGAAAGAAACGAGAAAAGGATTTTTGTAGGCGAAATGAGATGCAGGTAGGTAGGTACATACTGAATAAAATCCGCCTTAGACGTAGTTATTTGTACAAATATATGTATGTACGTAAACATACGCACACACACACACACATAAGCGGAAATATCATACCAAGACTATAAACTCTTCTGCATCATTATTCATCACAGTAATAAAACAATAAATATATAGCCGATAATATACAAGGAAAACAAAATAACTAATTCATTTATGTATGGGGCAAAAGCGAAAAAAAGTATTAGCCTTTTCTGCAGTATAAATATATACATCCATACACAGAAAAATTAACTACTTATTATGATAAATGCTCACGTCTTTTCCGCTAGTCTTATAACTACCAAGAAGTTGTAATCAACGGGGTCCACGAAGTCAGGTAAGTGAACAGTTATGATGTTGGCTGGCGGTTTCGCTAGACACATGCATCGCGAATCGGTGGGAGGTGGAATTCATGGGCCGTTGGATCACGTCCCAGTTGCTAAAATGGTCTACAATCTTGTCTTGTAACTGGACGATTTCAAGCTTGAACCTACGTGGGTGTGTACTGGCGAAGGCTGTCAAACTAGGATGAAAAGACTATCCAATAAACACTGGTTTCCAATAGTTCTCTAACTGATATCAGTGATCTGTGATCAAATCTGCAATGATGTCATTATAACCTAAGAGTTCACAAGAATGGAAGAGCCGAAAAATGCGTTGATTACAACAAGGTCATTTTAATAAAGGCTTTTCTTTTGGATTCAGTGTATACGTTTTCATGTAGAATGCGATTTCGGACTTTATAACCAGGAGAACTTGAAGAGAATTTATGGGGAAAGGATATACTTCATCCACATCAACATCTACTCTGTTCACTTGTGTTTTTTTCCATTTGACTGCTGATCTTTGATCGAGGATGTGTGTAAACAATAAACAGGCTATGTAATATTGTGAAACGAAGAAAACATTTTGTATTTACTCATGTCTGGTATAAACATGATAATATATTTTTTAAGTAGAATATGTTTCTTCACATGAATCCTACTATTATTACCAATGAACTGCCATGAAATATTAACATCTGGATCTTTCATTTCACGAATACTTAGTCAAAAATTATTAGGATACTCTTAAGAACGATAAATATTTTTCACTAAGGAGAATATTGATCAAGTTGGCAATAGAAATAAGTAGCGAAAACAGGACTTCAAGTGGACATGGAGAAGACGGAGGTGATGAAGATAACCAACCAACCAACCAGCACCAATCACTAGCAACGGAAGGAATTCGAAGGAAGTCGCCTGTTTCACTTATCTAGGCAGCATCATTTTGCCGACTACAGACAGTCGGCGCGGATGGGGATTTCAAAGTAAGTCAGACACCTTCATTACCCTGAGATCATAGTGAAAATCCTCTGCAGTCACCATGAAAACCATGTCAAGTGAGTGCTTCTACTACATGGTTCCGCGACCTGGTGCAAGCAAACACGAAAGGCATTTCGAACAGATTTGAGACTTTTATCAACAGCTTTCTTCGCCAGTTCCATACTGAAGATCAGATGGTTGGCCGGAAATTTTTTAACAAAAGTTCGCCTTTGGGAAAAATAGAGAGACAATAATAGAAAGACAAAACAAATGGAGGCAAGCATTTTTCAAAATAAAATTTATTGGGTACAACACGCAATTAGTGCGTATACCTGTTAGTAAATAATTTACAAATTGTTGAATTGTCATTCTCTCTCTCTCTCTCTCTACACACACACACACACACACAAATACAGTCTGAATTTGAATAGAAACAAGGAAAACAACCGGGAGGATAAAAAAGGAAACAATAGCACATTATAACTCGGTTATATGGCTTATTTATTAATTGAGGGATTCGAATTTTGTCTGTGTAGATGATCAGAGGACAAAATTTCATCCACACACATACACACACAGGCATTCAAGCCTCAACTTGTGGAAGAAAATAGAATATAAATGAAAGAGAAGGAGACTATAAATTGACAAACACAAGGTCGTAATAGTAATTGAAGTGGTAATATGCTACTAGTAGTAGAAGTAGTATTGGGTGCGAAACCAATCGATGACAACGACAAAAATAAGTGATAACCACAATTAATTAATGGTAATAATAATAATAATAGTAAAACAACTTATGTTACCTGATAGCGACAAAAAAGGTTCCTAAAGGATAAACAAACAATGAGCCACGAAAATAGATCAATTGACTGATTGTCCCGCGCGCGCTGATTTAAACAAGTTGTTTATTTTATAAAGGAAGACAAAGTGATGTATACATATATACTGTGCGTGTGATTGCTGTTTTCATAGTGTCATCAAAAGAAATTAAAACCAAAATAGCTTCATTTTACCACTCTAGTTTCAGTTGAAAAGTAGAGGTATATGTAATAAATATTCACATGGAATAAAAATAGGGGATAAGAAAATGAGGTGATAATTGAAAGAGACAGGTAGAAGGTAAGCATGAAGGGGGTGGGGGGTAGACAAAAAAGAAATCAAGGGATACCAGTGGATGTACCAGTCGGTGAAGAAGGATTCAATGCTTCAACTTCATAGTGACGATAAATTGAAGTGATATACGTCATAATAGAACTCCAATCAGGTCGTTCTGTTGTAAGCATATCTTGTAGTTGTAAAGTGGTTGGGATGCCTTCATTTTCAGCAACTTTGAATGCTGTCTGTAATGTATAAAATTAAGAGAATTATATATACATGCATATATATTGTAGTACAGTTTAAAGATTATTTTTATTAATAGATTTTAAATCCGTGCAAACTTAAGTTAACTGTGTGATTAGTGACCAGGACTATTCGACTGCTTATATTTTGAAAAGCGAAGTCACTTAACACAACGTAAATGATTAAACTGAAGGAGAGACAGAGAAAATAACTAGTAAGCCAGATTACACTGAATAGCAGAATCAGCTTTAGCATGGTTAGCATTTCAACATCAGGGTCAATTCAGTCATTTCTTCTATATGGGTCAGAAACTCGGTGGGCGTGCCAAAAAGAGAGAATTTCGAACAACCACCTGCAGACTTTTATCAACAGCTGCCTTCGCTAGCCAGAAAGAATTAGGAACAAGAAACTTTGAGAACCGAACCAACCAACCAATAACCTATTACTCAACAGATATTCCGAAGAATGTGTTGATGGATAGGAAAAACTGTGAGAAGATTGTCATGTGACATCGTACGTTAGTCAGGCCATCACTCGAGTACAAGCAGAATAGGGAACGACGAGATGAGTATAGGCCCAAGGATGACATGGAGGAGATTGTGTGAGGAAGAGATGAAAGCTTACGCGGGGTCGTGAAGTCACCTAAAAATACTGCAAGGAGCAGGACCAAATGGAGATGTTCCGTTAAAGTTGTATGTTCCACCCGAAATCCGAGGGATGAATAATAATGCATAATCTCATCACGCTATTTTCAGTGTCATTTTAAATAATCGTTTACTGTCCACTAGTGGAGGTGTAGCTCATCTGCTCAAGCATTCGACTTACAACCAATAGATCTAGGGATCAAGTCTCATTTCATGTACCTCAGCTTGATGCGACTTGGCTATATCATCAGCCTTCATAAAATAAGGTGTGAATCATAGACTAGTGTACATGGAAAGACCTGTTCTAAGTAAGCAAGTTCAAATAACAACTAAATTACACTTTCATTAGTAAGCTACATATACAGTACACTAAATAACTGTTGTAATTCAACTTTTAAATCGCTAGCTCACTGACAGCTACTGAATGAATTTTCTGAAGCTGCAGTGAGGATTCGTGAACAGTGGGGTCCACCAAGAGGGTTGTGTAAATTGGAGGTGACAAAGAGTGAATGCATCTGAGCCACTGAGAACGATTTTCAGCCATATCACCAATAGTCTCCAGCCATCGATAATTATCATCTCGAGTTACCAAACCACTCAGTCTGTACCTGCCTACGTGACTGAAATACCAAAAGTGAAAGACTGCATGGATTGATGCCAGGTTTTGGTTTGACCACCCACAACTCTTTTTCAACCTAGTCCTGTGTCGGATGACATTGCTCGTGGAGGAAGGCGGTGAGGCGGCTCGTCATGCGCAACATGTGTCCCAGCTATTTCAATCGATGCAGCTTGACAACCTGTTCTATCGACTTCCCTTCCTCACCTAGCACTGACTCTACGTCTAACCTCAATGTGTCATCATATTATGCCTCCTAACTAACAGGAGAGATAGAACGCAAACACTTGTGCTCAAAGACAACTAGCCTCTTCACATCTCCCACTGTCGATGGCCGTGTTTGGCAGTCAGCCATAAAGAAGCACAGAGAGAGAGAGAACTGCTTTGTAGTAAATTCATCTATTGACTGATAGTCGGATATCACGTCTACGCCAGAGATGGTGTAAATTGGCGAATCCCACATAAGCCTTATGTAACCGCGCTGAGACTTCGTCAGCGATCGGTAACTTCCCGAAAAAAGTGAATCGGTTGTTAAACACGCTCTCCCATTTCACTCCCTATCTTAAAGCGAAGATTCGGTGTAGTCCAAATTAGATCGAACTGATTGCCTAATTAAACTTACAATGAAGGATATAACTTTTTGCACAGTTACCTTCTCATACACCGAATTAATATTCCCTTTCTAAGATGATACGGTCTCATCAGCTTTACAACTTGACTTTTATTAACTACATCAAGTTCCGCTACATATACACTACTTTTGAAACTCAGCAACAGGGGAGTATCATCAGTACTAATAGGATAAGTGTGGCTCACAGCATGCTATATGAACTCTAACATGTAACAATTAGTTTCTTCAATGTTCTGTCATAGACAGATCTCAGCTAATCTTACAGAAACGGAAGTAATTGGCAGATAGTATATTCTCTATCGATTTAACAGTTGGAAAAAGATATAATTTAGAATACGACCTATTGTTAGTTACAAATGATTTATAATTAATCTCAAGCTGATATAAAACTTGTTATACGATGTTTTTATTAATGATTAATGAAATGACTTACTTCAAAACAGCGTCGTTTATCAACAGGTAAACCATTCGATGTGACTAAATCATTCCATGGGATTTTCGATGGAACATAGGTGTGTAACAGTGCACAGAAGGCTAAACCATTATTCCAGGAACTGGAGAAATTAGTCACTTCAACACCTGGATAACCTAATACGCGGGATTGACACCAGCGTAGAAGTGCATTCCGCTTAGAACCAGCACCAGTTAATCTTGCCAATTCTTGTAAGGGATCTTGCCACACCTGGTGAATACTACTATGGAAACTAGTCGATGTATTTGAATGATCATTGGATGCTTCAACAGATAGTAGATTCTCATTTAGACTATTCGGTGAAATATCAGTTTCATTTAGATATGGATTAACATTTTCATTAAGATGAGTAGTAGTATGATTCACCTTGCTTTTATTATTATCTGTTATTGTTGGTGAAGTGAAACGTCGTAAACTGATTAATTCTAATTTTCTAGGTGGTGATTCTTTATTATGCATTGGTGATTCATTTTTATTTTTATCAAATGATCCATTAGTATTAGTTAGAAGGGTATTTGACGGTGTATCAGCATTCAATGACTGGTGAACACCACTTGCAGTTGAATTACTACTTTCGGTGACAGTATTTGCGACGACATTGTTCTTCACATTTGGTCCACAAATACTATTATTTCGTCTAGAAAAAAACAAACAATAATTTTTTTTAGTAAAAAGAGAGATAAATAAGCAGCAAGATGGGAAAAAGAATTAGTGCAATTTATTTCTCTGGGACAGTTTCTTCAATATCACGTTCCCATTGAAACATAGGGCTTCAGACTAGAGGCTTGAAGTTTCGGTAGTAGTGATGTTTATTTTTACAGGATGAGTTGCTAGCCTCATACCCAACCTTCCCCCTTGACCAGTTTTATTACTGGCTTAACGAAGTAAAGGAGTGCGTCGGCCGGGGATCGAATCCGAGACCACCTGGGTGGTTGGCGAGCATCCTAACGCTGTGCCAATGACGCGAATATCTACTAGGTAATGAGCCACATTTGATGTATGAGGGATAGGGACATTTAAAGAAAATGAAAATGATAGTTTTTTGTCATTCCGGTCTCCAACTATTCATCTCTCTCCCAAAATGAAGGAAACGATTTCAACATATACACATACATCTTGCTAACCTATTAAATTTAACTTGCTACTCAGATACGTTATTTGACATACTACTAAGGGTAGATCGAAGAACGACATGGTTCACATCTTGTTTTAAGGAAAACAGAATTGAAAATACTGATAAGTCTGGGCATAATGTGGAGGGTGTGGAGCATTGGTTTAGGCACTTGATGTTCAATCAATGGGTCTCTGGTTCGAGTACCACTCCACCTACTCTAGCCCAGGCAACTGGGGAAGTATCGTTAGCCCCCAAACAATGAGTGTGGCTTATAGCTCAGTATCGCGTAACTGAGATGTAACTAACTAGGCCTAGTTGTGCTTATCAACTCAGACTAGCAAGACGTACTAACAAGCTTGAAGAAACGCCTATTCTCTAAGAGTTACAGATTCGCAACAACGACGAAAACGTGTTATCACTGTAGTCAGTTAGCAGTACGAGAGTTTATATATATATATATATATCAGAATAACTTGTTAACACAGAAAGTGTTTAATAAATAAAGACTATTCCCAGAAAGTTATTGAAAAAGCTATGTTCACTGGCCTCGAAGACAATAGTCCGCCTCAGAAAACTGCAACCAAATAGGTAACAGAAATATGTATGTAAGACATCAGACGGACGGAACTACATATCGGGTTAGGCCAATACACCTTTGAACAGCACAGAACAAAACCGACGAATATGGAAGCACTATATAATGTGGGTAAAAACCACTAGGGGAGGAAAGAGGAAATAAATACACCTCAACAACACATTTAAAAGTTCTTGAGGCAATGACACCATCCAACTGCTATAAAATTCAATAAGCGGCTTCAGTCGCACATCTTCACTGCGTTCGGTTCTCTGCCAAAGTTTTCACCTGGTTCCACGTGTGCCCACATGCTTTCATCTATTCTTTGCATGACCTCCTCCATGTCACCTTCGCACCGACGACCAACTTGCCGCTTTCCCATTCGGGTTTCGCTTGAGAGCCTGCCTGCATCCTTATTGCCCACTGCTGTCTATCGCACTATCCAGTCTATCGCAATCAGGAAAATCATTGGAGATAGTAGACAGCCAGCTTGTCTTACTCCCGTCTTCACTTTGAAGGATTCCGTGAGTTTCCCGTAAACGTACAACTGTTAGATGAGGTGTTTATTTGTTGTTGGCACCCCGTAGTTGCGAAGTAGTTTCCAAATCACCTCTCGATCGACGCTGCACTATTGCAGACCTTTTCAAAGTCGATGAATTTGAGGTAGAGAGCTGACTGCTATCCTAAGCTCTGTGTTGCGATTTGATCGATGCATGACTTGTTTCTCCTGAATCCAGCCCGTTCCGATCGACGTTTTTCAGCCAGGACATGTTTGATTCTTTTCAGGTAAAGTGGTGTTTAAAACTACAACTCACTGGTTACAGATGAAAAGCCGTAATCCCATTGTAACTTCCGTAGTGATGCTATCAATTTTTGCTTTATTCCTCCTGAAATTTCTGCGGAGAAATAGTTATAACATGGAGGTGTGTAGCATTTGCACATATTTAACATCTTACTGCAACTATGCTCAATCACTTGAAGTTCATATTATCTCACAGAGACCTTTCCACTAATATACTAGAATAAGCAATTTAGATATTCCCATTGACTTATTTAAAAGAAAAGAGATTCAGCAAAGAGTCATTCTTTTCAGCCATATTATTCTCAAGCTGTACACAATCGCACATATTTCGTAAAGTAAATTCTCCTAGCAACAAGAGGAATATTTGCAATGATGTGCGTGTCATTAGAATTGCTAATTTTTTTTTTAGATAACAAATTACACAATATAGAGAAAGCGTTATTCAGGCAGAAACTAAAATAAAATTAAATAGGCAGACTAAGTGACGTCATATAATTGACAGGATTGAGTAGAATCCAACTAAAATTGAACGAGAGTCAAGTTAACAACAGTGGTAATAAGGAGTGAGAATTTAATAGGGAGTGAGGGGGGGGGGGAATAATATGGTTAAAAAACAAGAAATTACACATTCCGTGTAAGGATCCATTTAGTGACTGAACAAATTTTTTCTGTATGCGGATGTCGGGATTTGCCATTGCTTCTGAGGTTTAGAGAAGTATGGCCCGTACACTTTTTAGCAAGATTCTCACGTAGCCTGTAGATGACTTTAAAGTCAATTTGTGGGTTAGCTTGATGTCCGGATTCGATCTGGTGTTCAAGCATGGTACTGTGGCAGCGGGATCTTCTTCCTCCTTTATAAAACTATGAGGGTAAGTGTTAGATGATATATATGGATAGCAGACGCTGGGTACAACCGACATACCTAACCCCACACGAGCAGGTGAAATTATTGACAGGTACACATTGATGACACAAGAGCAGTGGTAGCTTATCCTTCACTTTCATGGGAATCATTGGTTTTGTGCAGAAAGTTAGTCAAAGTTCAGCCGCGACGTAAGTTTTCTTCAATGAGCGCAAAAGGATGTTTCTCAGCATTTCTGCAGATGAATCTCCATTGAATTAGAGAAACAAGTAGAGAAGTGTGCGGCGTTTTAATGGTCTAGGCTTCATGGATTTTGCGATGAAACGTTCAGGGTAGCTGTTTTCACCAAGAACTCTTTTCAGTGTTCAACTCCTCTTCCATAGTGTTAGGATTGTAAATGCTACGGATTCTGTGGCTCAATGAACAGATCATGTTTCATTTTATATATAGTGGTATAAGTATAAAACTTGGGCACTGTGGTAGAGTATAATTCCATAATGGATAAGATTTTATTTTGATAAATCACACAGTGTAGTACAGTTATATTAACTGATGACGTTTCGAGCACAAACTATTGCTCATAATCATATCAAGTTGATATGATTATGAGCAATAGTTTGTGCTCGAAACGTCATCAGTTAATATAACTGTACTACACTGTGTGATTTATCAAAATAAAATCTTATCCATTATGGAATTATATATAGTGGCTTTCCATACTACATAATTTTTTCAAGTATTGGTTTGTACGGATCTGATTGGTTACAGGATTTCATCATGAGTTGACATTGGATAGAGAACTATTGGAAAACCTGGGAGTAATGGAGAGCTGTTTCGTCCTAGTTTGGGACTCTTCATCAGTACGCACATACCTAACAAACCAATAATTGAAAAACAATGAGATGCTCACTAGCAACTTGCTCTATTCAGGTAGGTGGTCACCTGGGGTTTTAGTGGGAAGTCATGAACCGTGGGGTACAGCAGGTCGGGTGCAAGGACAAATACTCGCCGAAGACACTGGCTGGCGGTTGCGCTATATCATGAATTGGCAGAAGTTAGAATTCATGGGCCATTGGATCGGGTCCCAGTGGCTTAATGGTCTACGAGCTCACCTTGGAACCAGAACCTCCTGAATTCGAACCCCGGCGGTGGGTGCATACTGATGAAGAGTCCCAAACTAGGGCGAAACAGCTGTGCAGTACTCCCTGCAGGTTTTCCAATGGTTCTCTAACTCATGATGAAATCCTGTGACATAATTTTTTATCTAAAAAATTTACTATTCTAATGACACATCTTTGCAAGTCTACCTTTTGTTGCTAGGACGATTTACTGCTTATATATCGCTGAAAAGACAAACTATAATAAGGTTAGAAGACTCTAATGGATAAAGAAACAATGTGAAAGCATAAACTCAATGGTCACTATGATGCAATCTATGTATGTATATGTTGGGGGAGCACTGTGGTTAACTGGCCAAGCTAGGTAATACGCCATAGTGATGCACTTTGAATTGATGCTTGGTGGTAGTTGAAGGTAATCAGCAGGAAGTCAGACAGTCTGATAAACAGCAACAACAACAAAACTAGAAGTGATCGATTGCACAGCATAATAAAAATGTATGAAACAAAACTGTCTAATGTCTAATTACAAAAAAAAGAAAGCATACCTGAGTAAAACATCTTTTGAATCTGTCTTTGTAAATTGATTTAAATTTGTAAATACTGTTGTCCCAGTTGAATTCATAATAGTTGATGTGCCAAGTGGTGTTTTAAGATTACGTTGATTATTATCAATTGAATATTTTTTCATTGAATTTTGATTAGTACTGCTAAGTATAGTTGAACTTGGTCCACCGGGTGCTGATGAATGCATTAAGTTTAAATCAGTATTTTCTTGATTTTTTATTTTATGATTTATTTCTGATGGGATAACAGGATCAGTGATAGTTGTTCTTGGCTTTGCTGTAACCATACTGCCGACAACATTATTACTGCCACCATTATTACTACTACTACTACTATTAGTACCACTAGTATTTCCATTAACACCAACTCCTCCTGCGGCACCCCCACCACCACCAGCACCGCCAATTGAGGTATTATTTGACTTTCCAGGATAACCAATAGGTGACATTAATGTTAAACATTGTGAAACATTTTGTCGGTTATTTGTTGTTCCATTGTTTGTACTGTTAGTATATAAGCGAACAGGACGTGTATTATTAACAGATACAGACGATGTACTGCGTTTTTGATGTTGTACCGCTTTGACCTAATTTTTCCACAACAACAAAAAAATAAGTAGAAAACAAGAATAATGATGACAACCATTCACAAACATAAAAAAGTATTAACCAAAGGTCACAGTGGTTCCCAACTCTGTGGTTGTATGTGTCAACGGATTCACCTTGTAACCCTGGAAGTTTTGGATTCCATCTCTCATGGGATAATGAGTGTTTAAGAGCCCCCCCCAAACTATGACCAGATAACTAACTGTCCAGTGTTCTCGAGTTTTCAGTAGTTCTCCCAACCAAATCCCTAGAATCCTCCAATACATGAAAAATATCTATTCTGTTTGATTATGATTTAAAACCTTTGCAAGGACGTTTAAAGTATAGTTAAATCAAAGAAACAGCTTAATTAAGAGTTTATATAAGCAAAATAAATGATGTATTCTCCTAATGTTATAAGATCACAGAGTTATACTGCTAAGATTACTTAGAACACTTCGTCAACACTGGTCATTCCATCTCAACAAACACCTCATCATTCAAAGTAATCTACAAAGTGAAGAACAGCCTTCCAAAGACAGTACGATTCCATCTTCTTTGCATCGCAGAGGCCCTAGCCATTAAGCTAGAGGAACCAGAACTGTGAATACAAAAGAAAATTATTCAACTACTTCTACTCCCATGGTAACAACTCTGTCGATTTGACTTAACTTTTCTTTGTTTGTTTGTTTGATTTGACTTAACTTTTGTTTGTATGCTTATTTTTCTACTTGAAACCCTTGTGTAATTCCGTATATTTTGTTTCCATGTACACCCTGAGTACAACTCTTTCATTAAACTATTCATGTTATTACGTAACTCTTCTTTAACAATCGTTTGTGACAACTCATCACTTTTGTTACTATTCAGTAATTTGTCTATTTTATACATAGTAAAAAATTATCATGAAAAGTTACGATATTGTTATCTTGTACAACACAATCCGATGTCAGTTAGTATTGCTCAACGTGGAAGTTGATGGCTTTCGATTCGAAATATGTCCCACCCATCTCGTTCGATAGAGCTTCACTACCTCATCCATCGATTTCCCTTCTTCACCCAACACTAGCCATATTATAGCACTGAATAGCAGAGACAGAACGTAAACACCCATGGTCAAAGACTGCTAGTCCCTCGATATCCTCCACTCCCCACGTCGGTTATGTGTCAGAGCCGTAAACAAAATGGACGGAGAGAACTGATGAGCAGTGCACACTTCCCTTCATGGACAGCCGAATACCACGTCTACGCCAGAAGGTAGAGAATTTTAGACGAGTCGCTTGGATTCAAGCTTAGATTCCATAACTAATCAGTCTACTTCTTAAATAAGTGAGCTGGTCAACACGCTCAATCAGTTTACTCCTCTTATCAGTATAGACCAGTCCTGCGGCATCATCTTGCAGTTGACAGGGGCAAATCGCATACCGAACATTCCAAGATACCTACTTAAGGTGTTCAGCGGGCTCTGCATCTTGCCAGCGTTTTGACCTAAGAGGACAATATCACCCGTACACTCTAAGTCCACAAGACTGTTCCCTGGCAGTAAGCCAATCCCTAAGTCTTTAAAGTCAGTTAATTTCAATCCCATTATAACATCTATCATGAAAATAAACACAAATGGATAAATCACTGCAAATGACAACTCTCTATAGACACTAACACGACTACGTGAGTTCCAGTAGAATGTCTTGATTAGTACGATATACTGTTCCGGAACTCCGTACGCAACCAGACGTTCACACAGCAAATCTCGACCGACAGAGTTAAATTCCATCTTCGTGTCAAGAAATATGACGTGTTGGACGCAGGTAACTATGCTTACACTTCACAATCTGTTGAAGGGTGAAGAGATATGATGAATAAACTCTCTTCCTGATCTAAAAACTGACTGGTTTTCACGGTTTTGTTTCCTCTGGGCACCGTTTATTCTACGCAAGACTATATTAATTAAGCTCATCTTCCGATGATTATCACTGGGAAGTTTCTTCCCCTTATTATAAACGGGAACAATCCAGATGGATTACCTTAGAACTCTATTTCACCCAAAAAGTTTCATTATAAACACTAAAAATTACTGTGTGACCTTTTCAAGTTATTAATGGTTTTAAACTTTGGGAAAATAATATATGGAATATACACATATTATGAGAAAGATGTGGGATATTATATAAGTATAAAGGACAGTAAAACACAAAACATGTTAAAAGGCAAAAATTTTTAAAAGCTAATATAAGCAGACTGTAAACAAAGAAAAAGTAGACTAAACAATAGGGATAAAACTTGTATTTTCATTGTTCATACATAAAAGTTAGTAAACGGACAATATAACATGAATATGGATTTTCGATTAAAAGCAAACACTATTTAAAATGAAGCCTACCTGATTTTCAATGCTTTGAATTAAACTGCGTACAGTGGGACCAGTGGACAATGCACTAGGTCGACCTGGTGCACCCGGTGAACCTGGATATGTTGGATGTAAATGACTTGTATGATTGAATCCAGAGGGACGATGCGTAGAGTAAGAATGCATTATGCTACTACGTCCAGGATAAGTACTATCTGTTATTGCGCCTGGTGGCAGACGACACGAAGATGATGATGATGTGTTGTGCGTTGTAAGATAAGCAGAAGAACTAGTAGTAGAAGTGGTGGAACCATTTGCACAAACATTTTGTGCATTAGTTGATAATACTGATTGATTTGTTACAGAGGATGGGAATGATGCAGAACCAATGCATTGTTTATCCAGTCTACTTGATTGATGGTTATCAACAACTGAATGTTCAGTGTCAGATTTTTTAGATGATAATAAATTGATCTTCTCCTTTAACAGTCTAATTTCCGAATTTAATTGATTGGATTCTTTTGTTAATTTCTCAACCTTAAGATATACAGAAGGATGCAAAAAAGTACATTTTACTATGAGTAAAAAACTAACAAAAGTGAAAGATTGTATTTCAATTAAATTAAGTGGTGAAAATTTATAACCCGAGTTGTGCATAAATTTCTGTGTCTAGGAGTCAAATATTCATACTGTAAGTTAATTGTACAAATTATAATCTTTATCAATCTGATTCAACAACAGGTATATGACAATGCCACACATGTCAAGAAATCCACAACGGAAAACTCAGTGAAGCCTTTGAAGTGAATACAGGAGTAAGACAAGACTTCCTACTATCACCGATGATACTCCTAATTGTAGTGGACTAGATTATGCGGGACACTGTGCATGGGGAGCGAGAAGACAGGAATACGCTAAACCGATACGAAGACTCTGGAAAATCTGAACTCCGCGGACGATTTATGTCTACTGTCATATAAATTCGAAGATCCGCAGGCGATAACCAACCAACAACGACAACAACAAACACCAATCACTATCAACGGAAGGAATTTGAAAGATGTCACATTTTTCACTTGTCTAAGAAGCATCGTCCCAGCTACAGACGGTACCTATGAAGATGCCTAGACCAGAATAAGACAGGCATTCATCACTCTGAAATCAGTGTGGAAATCTTCTGTACTCCACAGCATAAACAACAAGACTCGGATTTTCAACACCAATGTTAATTCAATCAGTTCTTCTATATGGGCCAGGAACTTGGCGGGTGAAGAAAAGCATTTGTATCAGGCTACGGCAGACTGCTATCAACCGCTGACTTTGCTCTATGTTAAAGATCAAACGGCCTGAAAGTATGAGTGATAAGACACTCTGGGAACGAATCAATCAAGAACCTATTGTTCAAAACAATATTCCGAAGAAAATGGAAATGGATCGGACACACGCTGAGTAGACCGTTGAGTGATGCATCGCGTGTCAGCCAGGCTGTCGCTCAGGTGGAACCCAAGTGGAAAACGGAGAGTTGGGTGTGGGTTCGAGGACGACATAGAGGAGATGAAATCTTATGGAGAATTGTGGGGCCACCGGCAGACGAGTACAGAAAACTGGACGAAACGCAAATGTTCTGTTGAAGCCTTATGTTCTACTTGGAACCAAACGGAATAATATAATAATAATAATAATAATAATAATAATAATAATAGTGAGAAGTTAGACATTTCATTATAGAAAATAAATTAGCTGTATTTACATGTTGATACTTATAAGTAGCTCATTAAAATACATCATGACCATACACATTGGTTGTTTGCTCACAGGGCTATATTTTGCTTCTAGCTTAAAGACAGGGAGTGAAGTATTACAGCGTGTTGACCATTTCACTTATTCGGGGAGTTTCATCGGCCCTAACCGACTAATCGCTAACGAAAAGTCAGCACGGGTACAGAAAGCTCGTTTGCCATTTACCGAGTTACACCATCTCTGGCGTTGACGTGATGTCCGGCTATTGGTCAAAATACGAGTTTACTACAAATCAATTCGCTCTCTCCTTCTTTATGTTTGTCAGACATGGCCATTGAAAGTGGAAGACATGAAAAGGCTAGTTATCTTTGATCATCGGTGTCTGAGTTCTATCTCTCGTGTTAGGTGGTATAATACGATGAGTAATATTGAGGTTAGGCGTCGAGTGTTAGGTAAGGAAAGGAAGTCAACTGATGAGGTTATCAAGCTGCCTCGATTGAGATGGCTAGGACGTGTTGCACATGACTAGCCATCATCGTCTTCCTCGACGGGCAATGCTAGCTGACATAGGATCAGGCTAGAAAAGAGGTAGCGGTGATCAAACGAAAACATGGAATCAGTCTATGAAATGTTTTACAGTTAGTTTGAGCCACATAGGAATTTTCAGGCTGCCTGGTTGGGCTCCTTGGGATACTAAGAACCAATAGCTGGAAACAATTGGTGGTGGTGGTGTGGGTGTGGTAAGTTGAACTGCTGCACTTCTGTGTTGAGAAATCAGACATCAGTGTCAGACACATTGGGAACAGAATCACTTATTGGCTTATAAAATTAATGTCAAGCAGGTTTACTCGAAACAGCTGGCATGGTAGTTTACTTCTTCTTTTGACTTTTTGCCTACTGTTAGACTAATATACTTCATTTATCCGTGTTACTGATATCCTTTTCATTCGTGGGATTTAACACATAAGCTGAACGAACAGCTGTGAAGCCCTAAAATAAAAAATATAGAAATATATACATTCATCTGTGTGTGTGTGTGTGTGTGTGTGTGTTAGGTATCGAAGATCTGGTGATTGTCAGTCTGTTTCAAATGGTAGATACCATACTTAATTTGAGACACAAATAACTTTCGAAATAGGAAACAAATCAATTGACTTTCTTCAAACACACACACACACACACACACACACAATATACACTACGATTGAATGAAACAGCAATGTGCAAATTATAATATCAAGGGCTTGCTTTTTCATTCCTTCCTATTTATATAAACAACAATAATAATAACACTAACGTGTTTAACACTTTTGAGGAGGAGGAGAAGGAGGAGGAAATCTTTTTTCTCTCTTCTATACACAAGGCAACACTATTTAATCCACTGCGTGATAGTTTTCTTTTTCTTCTGTTTTCCTCTCTTTTCCTGGCACATACAAACACAAACAACTTATCCTGGGGTGAAAAACAAACAAACAAACAAACAGCAACATGTATGTGTATACACAGTAGAGAAAAAATAACTATATGAATCACCGTATGGTGGTTAGCTGAAGGAATTAGCATAAAATCAATAGAACAACTGACTGACTGACTGATAGTTAGAATAAAAGCAAAGTGGAAAAAAACAACAACAAGCAAACCATCTCCATTTCCATAAATAAATAATAAATAAATAAATGAAACCACATTAGATGTGTTAACGGAGGAAAAGAAGCTGCTACTTCAGCACATAGGCTAACAGCTGATGATGAGACAGTTAAAAACTGCCTCGATCTGATTTCATATAAGTTGAACAACATTCATCGGTTGTCCATCATCCTACAGGATTGTCAGAAAAAATTAAATCTTAAGGTCATAGAAAAGACACAAATGTTCTGCAGTTGACACATAAGGACACTAGGATACTGTTTTTGTAAAATATTCCGAATTGTTATGTTTGATTGGAATATTATTTAACCAGATATACTAAGATAACAAACAGTTTATCCGTTAGACTATTTTTAAGTCAAGTCACTAGTGTAATACACATGAGAGGATAACTAATGCATAATACATTCAATCGATAGAAAAAATATCTTATCAACATATCCGTGATAGCAGGTTGTTCCATTCAGTTTTGCTACCAATGATGGTACGATCGAAAAGTTCAACTATTGAAAAAAAAGCTGGACCAGACAATTAATACCTTCACTACAACAGCTTCTGTTCTATAAGCTAACTATAAGCTTGGATTAGCGACACACGGCACACTGAACGACAGAACAAGAAAGCTACGTTCATCCAACAAGCTGGAAGAAGAATTAGGCTTTGTTGGGAAATGCCAAGGGGAAAATAAATGGTTATCCAAAGGGATTCATCCTAAAGTATAGCAAAGAAAAATACAGGAAAATGAAACACCCAACTGTTGAGAAGAAGAAAGTGTTTATCTGTCTCCCATTCAAAGGAGAAGCAGTATCATAAAAGATTGATGAGAGCATGAAAAGAGCAATAAAAACATGCCTTCCTGAAGTTACGTTCGTAACACTTATACAGCAACCACATGTATATCTCACTATACACCTACAACTGTGTTTATAAACGTACAAATACTTGCTTCCGCAAGTACATTGGAAGGAAGGCTTCTCTTTGGTTTTCTGAGCATATTCTAAAAAACTTGTTCCTAAAAGGAAGCGGATATTTCCAAAGTGCAATTACCAGACACCTTGTGGACAGGGGTCATTCAATCGAGATTTCGAAATCCTTCAAAATATTAAATACACAAAGGATAGGAAATTTATTACGGTTCGCTGAAACAATTGCAATCAAACGTTTCAAACCAAACTTATGCATACAGAAAGAGAGCATGATCAATTTCTCAATCTGCCTTGGTAAATGTATTTTAATTACATTGTTTAGTCAACCGTGTTAGTGACTTCAGCTCATTGAGCAAGTTTTCAATCTCATTAACTATAACTTTCTTGAATTGCTATGTGAACCTACAAGCTAACACTGTTTATTAGATTTTTCCATTTTCTGTCTTCTCCCCCACCTACTCTTCTACTTTGAAAGCATCTAAATTGATGGCAACTCAAACCGAAAACTGTAGTGCTTACATTTCGGATGTGTTAATTTTATAACGTTTTCTCTACTGTCATTCAAACATTGAAGTATGCTATTGTCATTTTTAATAACCATTGTAATTTTAGGTAGCTTGCAGCTGATGAGAACCTGTGAAATAGAATGATATCATTTTATACTGTAGAAATAAACCTTTGTCTCTGTTGAAACATACCTTCAGTCACGAAAAACAATTAAAAACATTTCACCATGGCAGTAATTTTACTATTTTTGAAAACAGACATAGAAGACTACTTGGTTTACATGGATTATACTGTTATAGTTGTGTTTTCTGAGCTGGTTAGGTTAACTGTGAGGCTTTTTCATGGTCTTCCTAGACAACATGTTTAGTGATGACTTCAGTATGAATGTGCAAGAGCATCAGTGGAGATTGTTAATAACACTTATGCAGAATGTTCGAGTAATCAATTGAACATGCTGTCTAGGCAGACAATGAAAGCTTCTCAATTAAACTATCCAATTTAGATAAGATAACTGCACCGATATACTATTCTTTATTATATTTAACTAAAATTTTTAACTTTAAAAAAGAATTATTAGGAATAGTATTTACTGAGAGCATTATTAGTGTTATGGTATACGAGATAAATTTTCACGAGTACATTGCTTTTCTTTCTACCTGATATTCACTTAACAGGATGAATTAACACGAGAGAAATCACAGAAGACATAAAGTGATATTTGTTTGCGAAGTTTTCTTTTCTCACATTCTTTAATTTTAAACACAAAAAGAAAACCAAGTTATGAAGAGTATAAAATCTTTAACTTTTCGATTAGTATTATTATCACTGTCATTAATTGACACTTTGTAATATCAGATCATTTATAAATGTGCAACCACCTTACATACAAATATAAACACAAACACACACACACCAAAATGTAGGTGATTAGGACAAAAATGAAGTATTTTCATGATTATCCCGGGGACTGTAGAAAGATAATTACTAATAATCACAATAATACAACTAAAAAATCTCGTACAAACCCTCAATTAACTAGAGGAAAATAAGTTAAAATAGTACACACGAAGTAGTGAGATATTAGGAGGGGAGAAATCCTCACATGCGAATCATAGCTTAATTGACCCCGCTCATCGATGAAATTAGCACTCAAGTTGTTCTTATAGAAAGATATCACTACATATGCTAATGAGTATTTTGCCAATGATTATTTCTGAGATTTTTTTAAAACTGATAAAGGAAGTGCTATGGGGTGTAAATAAGTGCTAAAACTGCAGCTAAATATTTCAATCCATACATTCATAAACACAATTACAAGTTCCGACGCTACCCTTAATAACAAGTAGTAGAAAGCCAAATGACTAACTTGGTGTTGCTGTTGTTTTCAGAGCATTTCTCGAAATTACAAAACACAAAGCTATTCACAATTTTGTAGCTTTTAATATACCTTTAGGTCTGCCCTCATAAACTACCTGATACGATCAACGGTGGGTAGACTTTGGTCTTCCTCTGGAAATTCTCTCATGTGACCACACCACGCGTTCATAGCCTCCTTCAGACAGGTCAGGTAAGTCCTAATCACTATACCCGCGCAGTGGCGTCTCCCTCGTAAAAGCGAAAGGGCGAATTCCAATGTCTGGCGCTTACAACCAAACTGTTTGGGCATTTTGGCCTACTGTGGGCAGCTAGGAAACTCTGATTTTAAACCTATGTTATATATGCTCTCCAGAATCCGAAAGGATAGAATGGCGTATGAACCTGTCTTGATTACCGGAATCTTAAGCTCCTGACGCTGCTCCACTGCCTTGTCGGTCAGACTTCAAATCAAAGACTCGTGGGACGGCTCTTTAAGACAACCGCCTGCGTGGGTGTGGGAGTCCGGGAAACACCCTGGACCTCACACATACAGTGAGGTTCTGTGTGGCGCACCCCTTGGTGACCATAATGTACCAAGTTTTTGTTTTAATGATCATAATAACAATACCTTTAGGTCTAAACCATAAGCTCTTGACATCTCCAGTTAAAAATCAATAAAGATTTTGCGTCTATTTATCAGCTTATAAGATAATGAAAATAAAGTAACCTTAAAACTTTAATGGGAAAAATCATTTTGAAGACTACCAAGATGCATACATGATACTTAAGCTTAGTAGGTGATAGAAATGGAATTCTTATCAATATACACACGTCTGAAGTGTACCAGATCTTTCTCTCTTTCCAGTAGAGAGAACTTTTACTTACTCTAATAACACTATATGCACCCAAACGATGTTTTATAAACACATGTAGAGTCTGGTCATAAAATAAGTCTACAGAGTCAGGTAAACAAACAAATGATTTGAGTTTTGTGAATAGGTTACTAAGGGAAAAAAAATCTGGTTAACATTATTCCTCCTCCCCACCACATCACTTTTGCTTTAGAAGTTACACCTCCCTGCCTTTCACTGAGTGCACCAGGAGTCGAAATCCGCCAAACAAGTGGTGACAAACAAGAGGTGTAGCTCATTGCCAATTGATTGGACAAACATGTGGCTATTGAGTAACATTACACAAACTCTATCATCACTCACAATGTTGTAACCCAGGGACTCGACCTCCAGCTAGGTAAAATGTGGATAACAACCCTATTTTCCGTAATCTGGTCTTGGCAATAAATTGCGCGAAATAGATTCTCAGAAATTAATAATAATATTATTATAAAGTACTTACTTGCTCTTTTAAAGATGAATTTTCTGAATTTAAACGACGGGACTCTAGTTCAGATTCTGTTTTAATTCCATCAGCCACTTGAACAGCTTTGAGTAAATCTCGTTCATACAGTCTCCACTCAGTTTGTTCTCGTTCACGATCACATAGCAAAATTTCATACTTCTCTTTTATTTTATGTAGTTCACTAGTGATTTCATTAAACTTTTTCTGATTTTCATTAATTGATGGAGATTGTTGACTTCTTACTGAATCAGTAAAAAAGAAACTATCCGTTTGAATAGCCACACTAACTTCTTTCAGTTGACTTGATGCATCGTCTTGCTTACTGACTGAACATCTATGACACTCTGTAGATACTTTGCATTTAAGTGAATTTAATTCTGAAAATACGGATTGATATACTTTCTCCAAAGAATGATGTTCAGCTTCTAGTGCATCGTAACTATCCTGTAAAGCTGATGCTTTTTCTGTCAAAATACGGCACTCACGTGCCAGGCTTTCTGAACTTTGTGCCAGATCATTATTTTGGCCCAGTAGCACTTGTTTTTCTTGTTCAATGGAGGCATATAATTCACAAAAGTGATTTTCTCGTGTACCAAGCGTTTGGGCGCTGCGATCTGTAAGTAACAAGTGTTTTAATTGTTCAATTTGAAATCGACAATGTTCCAGTTTTGAAGTCTGTGTAGCAAGAGCTTCTAACAAGATTGCACGTTCAAAGGCAAGACTATGAGCTTCTTCATGAGCCTCATCTAGGCTTCGCTGCAAATCCCAAAGTTCTTGTAACGTGGCTTGTAGTTCTTCATTAGTGGTGTAATTGGCTTCTTCCATTTGCAATAGACGTCCTTGGAGAGTAGCCACACTGACAACGGCGTTTTCACTTTGACTTCTGTTACCTCTAAGACTTTCCAGATCACCAGGATAATTAGCACTATATGTCACAGAATCTTCTGCAGAACATAAATCAAATCCTGTAGCAGTATCATTCCACTCACTCGATCTTGAGCTGGCAGTGACAGCTCCAGTAAGTACGGTGGTGGCTCCACCTGGAGTTAAACGTGTAGTTGTACCAAGTGATTCCGGAGGAGATGAAGTATATGTGAAAGGCTTGCGTGAATTAGGATTTATTGAATTTTGCTTTGGGTTCTGATGTGTTTCGACAGTGCAACCTTGATCGCCATCTTTCTTACATGGACTTCCAAGAGCTAATAATTGATTTCTGAGTTGAGCATTTTCAAGTTTAGCATCTTCTACCAGTAACAAAGCTTTTGATGCCTCTTCTTTAGCTCGACGGACTTCAAACGTTAACTTTTCTATTTCCATTTTACGCGTTTCTGTAACTTGCGTCAGCTCGGATATTCGAGCTTCATACTGTTTTTTCTCCCTCTCTACGCGTGAAAGTAAGTCACTATTTACAGATATGCGGTGGGCGTTAGACTGAGTATTGAGATGAGTTTGAAAGTGTGGTTCAGAAGAGGTAAGTTCAGTGTTTTTGGAACAAACTGTTGGGATGTTGGCTACACTACCGTGGTGTTTCTGCTTGCTATTCATATTTCGTTTTTTACTCTGTGTAGTGGCCTGAAGGTTTGATAAATGCATAGATGTCTGGCTTTTCCCAGAATTGGCTATTTTGATATTTTGATAGCTAGAGGACTTTTTTAGCGTGGGCTCATCAGCTGCTCGTGCTTTACAGGATACTTGGGAATTCGGGCGAACAAAAACAGAATCAGTATTTGTCGACCCAGATCTGAAATGACCATGAGTACGAGGTAGAGTTGAAATTCCTGGCATTTTTTTATCCTGAGTAGAGGCTTTATGAAAACTCTTGGTATCTTCAGTATTAGATTTATCAGTTTTCTTCTTAGGATGAGTTATAGTAGGAAGAAATGCAGAATTAAGGTTTTCTTTTTCTGAACTAAGATGAAGAATAGGTTCTTGAAGCATGAGGAGAGGAGAAAATATCTGAAAAATCAAATAGTTGGGTTGAATGACAACATAAATCATTTAAAACGTTATGCATTAATATGAAACTGAAACTTCCCATACACTATAGCATAACAAGACTACATCAATCTAGGTAAAGTTATTTTGACAATATTAAGATAATCTAATTGTACATTTTTGTCTGAAATAACAACAAACAATACGGGTAGGAAACAGTGGCATTAAAATAACTAGCATATCTTATATTAGTCAGCTTTTACGGTCAGTAAAGCAGGAAACGCATACACAGCTAAAAAAAACCCAAGCCATTGCAAAACGATGATAACCCTGATTATTTCTATTGTCCTGTGATGCTTACTAATTAGTAACGCTTGTAGGCAAAACAACTAGAATAATGAGCTACACGCAGGATGTCAAGTGAGAAATGCAAATTAGTTGTTGGGATGATAAATACTCAGTGTGTGGTAACCTGAACATTTGCTACGCATGCCACCTTCCTAGATGAACAACGTTGGTTGAAAAGCTAATATTTCGATCAAAATATTGCACCAAATTATGTACTTAGATGTTGGTTTGAGTTATAGAGAAAGTTGTGGGATGTTGAGTCGGAATTCTCAGGATGTTCAATACCAATCACCGAAGACTCTTGAGAACTTAGCAAAATACTATATGGTCTGGAGATATGAATCTTATCATCTTTAGAATAATTATTCTTTTCATTTACATTCATTTGTATGACGCAGTGATAAAATGTGGTAACTTGAAGTGCTGAACTTTTGAATCCTATTAATTTACGTTTAACGCCTTGATGATTTGCTGTTTTTGCCACAATTCCGTAATATTCTAAATAGTTACTGACAACTTTTGTTAAAAGTCAGAATTTGAATCATCCAAGTCTTTTAACTTTTAGAATTTCCTTCATAAAAAAACAGGGACTACTTTCGCACAGTCATTTCAGAGAGAGCTTTTACTACATGGGAGTTAAAATAGCAAAGAAGATACCACAGGGTTGAAGTTACGCGCACTAGATACTGTGCCTCGGTTCTAGAATGTAAAAGCTGCTGGGATATTAGCACTACGATATATAAAAGCTAAAACAGCCTAATACAGAAAACAATTCACTTATACATGAAAAAACAATATTTAAAAAGGAAAAACATTGCTTCATTTGACGTACACTATCAAACTGTTCAGTGTTAAATGTTGGTAAAAGACAAATGTATGACTCAGTACTGCGTTATACCTCAATTTGGAGATTTTGTAGGGTGTATGAAGCAAAAGTTATCTAAAGCTTTGGATTATTTAACTGTCTCCCCTTGGTGCTCTTGGGTTTTTGTAGGCCATGGGGTATTGGTGGCAAATGTGTAATCCAATTTCTGACTTGTGGATAAACAGAGAATCCTTGAATCAAAACCAAATTGCAGTGTGATATTTCATACTTCGTAGCAAAGACTTGTGAATGGATAATCTCTGCGTGATTGGTTAGTAAAGAATAAATGACTAAATAGCTTACGCTTATGTTAAGCGAATCGTAATTCTGATTTACCAATAGTGGCACCTTAATCACAAAATTAAATTTATTTAAATTGGGAGGAACAGTTCGGACTGAAGTTGTCAGACACGAGATCCCGTAAATAAATTCATAAAAACGAGTCAGCGACTGATTTCCAGATATGTGTTACTTTTGTCAAATAATAGTGTCCAATGAATGCGGAGTCTTACAATGAGATTACTTACACCATAATAAGTGAAAACCATATTTCGGCGTCCTAGGAATTAGTAACGGGTAGTTTCGGTTGTAGCAGAGGTCTTCACAAATCTATGAGTACTATGGCAGGAAAGCAACAAGTCAAGTAGCAATGTAGGCCATCTTCCCTATTGGAATTCAAAACTTTGCAGCACTGACGTCCAAAATGGATTGAAGTTATACAAAACAAACTGCTGAGATTTCCTCTGCGTTCTGGATTTAGTCCAGTGTCTGAAAAGTAAGTATCGCAACTGGTGTGCAAAAGCTATTTAATATGTCAACCTTATCTTAGTAAGCCAACTTTCACTATTGGTAATAAAACGAGCACTCCATCCACTTAGGATGATATCTGGAAATTCAGAGCCTACATGACACCCCAAGTGTCACTGACTTCGTAGATTAGGTTGGAAATAGGCTTTTATAAAACTGTGGCAGAGTCTTCAAAATCCGAAAACTTTAAGAGCTAGCTGTTTCTTCTTGGCAGCAACTTTATGCAGAACAATTCATCGAACAGTATTGTTCCGTGGAACTCTAGAAGAATTACCAGGGCTTATAAACGTTAAGGATACCGATCAAGACACTAGAAAGGGAAGGGCATATAATAAGGCAGTCTTCAAGTCGACTTCTCGTTCTTTACAATAACCTTCAAAAACTTCTTAAACCTTAACCCTTTTCTCCAAATCAAAAAATGCATTTGAAATTTAAATAATAAACAACTGAAGTCAGATTATGAGACAAAACATAATGTATCACCACCTTGGGATAAGTCACACCATCTCCTGACCTAAGTTTAAATACGCTCCTCTATCGAAAATTGCGCTCGAAATCGCCTTGATAAATATACGCTGCAAGTTGTATAAAGGTCAGATCAGTACTATGTAGAAGGCCAACAAAAGGGCCAATTCAGTCAAATAATGAATTGAACCTGAACAGTTGTATCGTTAGTGGTCAATATGTAATCTCGACGTATTTATTCCCAGAGTGCTAAGAACATATTTAGAGACGGGTACATAAAGCTGAACAAACAAATAAAAGAAACGTTTTGGACCAATTAAAACCAGAGCATCAGAATTAATTAAGATTACCCGAGATTCTGAGTTTTAGGCCTCTCAATTCATTCCTATAGCAAATTCAGTAAGGCGAATTTTGAAAAGCGGAATGAATTTTGAGAATCGATATAGAAAAGACGACAGCTGGTCGTTCATAAGGAAAATGACATGGTCAGGTATAAAAGGGTAGCTTCCTTCTGTCATAATTCCGCGGTCTGTTAAAAATTTAGACATAATTCCTGATTCTTCAACCTACGAATACCTGCTCTCATGAGAAGATAGAACAGGACAATAGAATACATCGGAAACTGGATGTGCTTTGGAAGTTACTGCAACACTATAACTCGGAGTTACTCTTGAGAGATAGAGGGGTGCTGACGTTTATCCACAGTACGACTTGGGATAGTGCAAGTTCCCACACCCACAACTGCTACAATATTTATTCTCCCTAGACCAAAAGTGAATCAAAACACCAAATTGATCGTCCAGAATAAGATATGTTTCGTGACTAAAATCGTAGTTCAGTGTTGATTGCTTAGCTGCCTGGAGATTGTCCCGGAACGATCGAATGTCTCATGTGGGCGTAACAAATGGCGTGGTACTTCAACTTAACTAGTTGACTTAAACAGCGAAGGTCAGCATCCAGTGTGATTATTGCTACAAGCAGATAATTTTGAGGAATTATTTATCGCTACAACTTTGTGTCAACTATTAGAAGAGCGTCGGCGGCACAGCGGTTAGGACACTTGCCAACCATGCACATTGTCAGGGGTTCACCCCTTGGCCAATGCACACCTGTGTTGAATCAAGCTATAATAAAAAAATAACGAACTGTTTTACTTCTAAATGTTCTTTCGACTTGTATGTGACCTCATATTGACGAAGCCTATGCATTATTGGTACATCGCTCCTTTGGCTGACATACGTACATTTAAGAATATTGAATGCGCTTATATTATCTAAGTTTCACACCTAATTCAATAGGAGAGGGATGGCAGATAACTGAATTGGGAGTGTCTGTCACGAAAATAAAGGGTCCAATAATGCTAAACAAGCATAAAGACGAAATAAATACAAATCCATCAAAAAGGCATTTATGAAAAAAGGTAGCAGTCGTTGCAAGAATTTTTGAGTGTCTTTTGAAAGTATAATCAATCCTTCTTAAAAATAACTGCAATCAAACCAGGCTCATGGGACATGAATACCTTGATTTACTTCATTAATCTGCAACCTTGTCCGCTCTACGTCTACAGTCAACTTCAGCTTCTTTTTAAGTAGTTCTTTCAAATGCATATGTGATGCTTCAACTCTATTACTGGTGTGATTACCAAAGGTTATTACAGACTCTGTGTAACACTTTGTTCACATAATCTTCTAAGAAATCCAGTAATTCATTAGGTAGCTATGGGTCTCAAAGTCCATTAGGTGCATGCAGTGAAGGCAAGCTGGGAGGATTAGGCCAGCACATTACGTCCAACTTACATATCCACATCCTGTAGAGCTACCAACTTGTGAACCATTTTTCATTCGTGCATTCTTACTCTTAAGGCATGCAATAATTTCGCCTTCTTACCTTCTCTGAATACTAATAGGAATCGACTTAAAACAGTAATCATCGTATGATTCATCGTGTGATTATATGACCGTATTGTTTCTTCTTCTTACCTTGGTATTGATTGAATAAACAGCCAATCGGATTATGTATTTCTCGCCAATCTATTCAAATCACCTACCAATCGGAACAATCCGTTTCCACTTCCCTGGGCCGATTCTAGTTTGATTAAGTATGTGTAAATGTGACTTGCTATTTCCTAATAAAATTATATCCTACCAGGCACAGGCCAGTCTTTATCTTTTGATATATACGTAGCTGAGTTAAATCGAAGGTACCACAGACAAATACGTATATCTGGCATATCAGTCGAGTCGTCCACGGAGTCAGAATTATTATACCCACTCTTAAGTCCACCTGATCATATTAACTTTCGACGCGATCATACAAATTTGCGACGAGTTCATTTCAACTGGCGAAATAGATCATAACAATTAAAGAAATTGGCCCAACCATATACGGCACGTCATATATACACTTTTTGTTGAGTTCATTTCGGTGGCGAATAATTCATGACGAATGTTTTCGTGGTACAGCCTGTCATGGACAAATTCTTTGGGAGATCCCTGCTGAACTATACATTTGTAGTGTGTATACTTAGTTAGACATTTTAACTAAATTAGCAATTAGTAAGCGTATTTCTCCTAGACATTTGACATAACCATACCACATGTGGGTCTTTGATCCTTTTTTATTGCCTCTGTCTTCGTTTAATCTTGAATTGTAATACTTCCCTGTGGATGTTTGTGCATTGACAATGTGTTGTTTAACGATATGAGTTTGTTCGACTTTGTTTTGAAGGTCATTCTGCCCCTGGAAGCCTTAGTGCTTGGTTCTTGTGGACAGACCTCTTGGTCCCACCTTGTTGCCAATATTCGCCCTGATTCCAAGGTACCTTTTGCAGGTGAACACTGTTTAACTAATTTTCTCTAACAGTCCCTGTTTTGCATTTAGAAACCTACATTGCCTGTGTAGCTGCTTCACGACACTGTTGAAGTACCTTCGAGCTTGGTGTTATTGTCCAATAGAATCGCTGAAATATTGGAGAATAGTCGTCTTTTTCCTATATTTGGGACGTTTTGCGCTAGTGCGCGTCTCAACGAAGTTCTGTTGACTACACAGTAAAAATATATATATAAACACAGAGATCAGTTTCTTGCGTTCAGACGGTAATCGAATAAATCTGGTTACTACAGCGGCATCCATTATGAACGTTTCGAAATGCTCCAAGATCTTGTAAAACAAATCTGCCTGGCTATGGCTGATACTCGTCTGCATGAAGTAGAATTCACTCCCCATAGTACCCTAAGTTGACATTGCTGAGAAAATGATGAAAATATATCACTCATTTTAAATTAATAAACCGTCTGACTATGAATCTATTAAAAAATTCCATGCCGTACACAGCGAAGTTATATGAAAGAATTGACTTAGGCTTTGTTTCTCCCAAGTATTTGTGATTCATCCAACACAGACTTCAGTTTTTTGTTAATGTGAAGACTAAATTCCTATATTTCTTAATGAGCTCCATTGAATGACCAGTTAGCGGATTTTTCCCACAAACTAAATTCGAAAAAACAACAACCATGTAAATTCACCAAGAACCAAATTTATGTAATTTACATAATACTTAGCTATGTCTGTAAAATTGGTGTGTTCCTACATAGACAGAAATAAATATATATTACTATGTATAGTGCACCTTTGGCCCGTTCTAGTTTCACTCTAAAAAACACCATTGGCTCACCGCAACAAAGCCCATCGGTATCAACCAAATGAAACAGATAATTTCTTACAAATAACACCTCCATAATACCCACTCTTTGTCACTACAGTTATATGTAGAGTCAATCCCAAGCACTTCCGGGTATTTGTGTTCAGCTGTGGCTGTTCAGCTTGACCGGATGCCTGCAAAGTTGACATAAATGCCGTTATTTAAGTGGCCTAGTCAGATTACTGGTGCATAGTCCCATGAGGAAGCTGCTTGGTGTCAGCTCAGGCGACTTTAGGCCCAGGTTACCCAACCCCTCATCATATGGTTTTCTGGGGAGTAGAAGGCACTGCTCCCATTGATAAACCTGGAAACTGGTGAGCTACTTTGGCGTAAGCATAAATGTGGGAACATATTTATTATGCTTTTGGCTCCAGAGGCGGGAAAGCTGTACGCTATAACTAGAAACAAAGCTGCTGCAGGAATTCCCCAATCACAGGCGAAGTTCAGAGTGCATCTTGCTCAAAACACACTACCCAAGAACAATTTTCGTACACGATTCTTAGGGTTTAAGACATTCAACAGTGCTCCGGACCTGACTATTGATAGCAACGCAACCGAAGAAGACAGGGAAAAAGCAAAGGCGATGGTAGGCTACTTATCCAAAGTTTTCACATTGTAGTCGTCATCCCAACAATACAAAACAACAATAGAAACTTACCCAACAAGAGCCAAATAAGCACCAAGATCACGCTAACTGCATTTGCCTGGACGACTAGCCCTAATTCATATCGACTTAACCGAGCAATTGCTCTCATGATGAAGCAGGCGGCGTCACTTCAAAAGGGGATACGCCATATAATCGCCCGTCATCACCCGTAGCAGCACCTTTAGCTGGACTAGAGGAGTACGAGATAGATTTCTTCATTAACTGGAACATCGTATTTTGTTGTATGAAGGAACTGAGTGGAGAGGAATCAGTAGGACTAAATGACCTTTAACGGGGTCTTCTCAGCCAGCCTGCCTCGACACGGCTAGCCCACTGATCGCGTTCTTAAATGGAGCGTCGCCGCGTGACTGGAAAGACTCCATAGTAACCCTAACCTACACAGGGGGATCCAGATACTGTCTTCCGAACTGCAGGGCCATCTGCCTTGATCAAGATGCTGGTATGAATTTTCAGGTGAGCTATTATTGCATATCTGAAAGATAACAGCTTATCTTCTAAAGCACGGCACTTCATCTATGGAAACCCATCATTCTTGATAAACCTTACAGCAAGGGAGGGAGGAGTCAATCTCGGGGACAACAGAAAACCCATCCACGTCATTTTCATAGACTCCAACAAAGTGCACAGGACTGTTCACGAAACTGGAAATTCTGGGAATCAAGTGGGGCTTGCTAAACTAGACTAAGAAATTCTTCACAGGTAGGCGACAGAGAGTTGGAATCAACTCAAAACTCACCT